TTTCTGAGGCCACACGTTTGCTGTGGAGCCCAGTCTCCTAGGTGTGCAGATGGGGGGGGCGGTGAGCCCTTGTAGCTCTGAACCTGCGGGAGGGACACGGCTCCCCGAGTCCCCGAGATTCCCCCTGACCACCGAGGGGATGAGCTGCCTGCCGATGTCGTAAGGGGAGCACTATTCCCCCAGCTTCCCCTGGTTGGCGTCCACAGAGGTTTCAGCAGCAGGTCCCTCACTGGGTGTGAGCAGCACAGACTGTCAGCGTTTCTTGGGTTTTCCTGGTTGCAGTGGTGCCGTGGTGCTGAGGTGCCGAGTGGTACCTCGGACACGGTAGCGGGTTCGGCTCTGTTGAAAGCAGCCTCAGGACAGAGCACCAAGGGCGCGACCAGTGCTCTTTGGAAGGTATGGTCAGGGAAGACAGTAACCCCTTCCTCCAAACTCCTCTCCGGAGGCCCTGTCACATGACAGCAAGCACGTCAAACTTGCTTGCACCACAGAGCTCTGGTCTGTTTGAACAGAGAGAAAACCTAACCTAATAGACTTTATGGGCTCATCAGAACAATACACAGCGAGGCGACTTCAGGTTCTTGTAAAAAAAAAAAAAATCTAAGTTAACTCTTCACATGGAAGTGGGGAATTTCCAGGGTCAGGGAGAACACTTTAGAGTGAAGATGCTCTTAGGGGAAAAAAAATTACACTTCAAACTCCTAGGACAGGCTGATTTAATGAGTCGTCTAAGTACATGGAAAAATCCTCGTGCACAAGGAAGGAAGCGAAGATTTTTAGCTCCCAGTTCTGGACTCTGTGGACCCAAGCATACATCACGTAAGTTTCACCATTGAGTTCAGGTTGGTTCAAAAGACATTTATTAAGTCCCATATTTGCTCACACAGCAAACTATTAGTCAGGGTTTTCATGTACAATGTTCCCTCAGAGAGGAGTGTTGCTAAAAACAAGAATCCTTGCAAAGATTCTCATGGAGCAGCTTGTTATCTCACTTGGAACAACAATTACCCCAAATATTGATGATTCTGAGCAAGAGGACGCCTGATGGAACTGGAGACAGAGAAACTGAAACACAGATTTAGAAATCCCTAGTGCCATGCCATTACATTTTTTGGTGTTGGATGTGTCAGGTGTTATTTGAAATAGGTCTCCCAAAAATCCAACCCAATGAGATAATCCTGGAGATTACAAATAGCCTCAGAAAGTGTTTTTTAAAACAGCTGCCTTAGTGTGATGTGAACAAGTCCTTGTGGCTCATAGTTACAGAAGGAGAAGAGAAAATGGGCACCGCAACATCTGAGGTGATCCTGGCTGAGAATTTTTCAAAACTGATGAAAGACATTAAGCCACAGATTCAAGATAGCCTACAAACCCAAGCAGGGTAAAGACAAAACCAAGGCCAGCCGGTGTGGCTCAGTGGTTGAGTGTCGACCCATCAACCAGGAAGTTGTGGTTCTATTCCCTGTCAGGGCACATGCCTGGGTTGTGGGCTCAGTCCCCAGTAGGGGGTGTGCAAGAGGCAGCTGATCAATGATTCTCTCTCACACTGAAGTTTCGATCTCTCTCTCCCTTCCTTTTGAAATCAATAAAAAAATATTTTAAAAAAAGACAAAACCACAGCTAGGCACATCTTAAAATTTTCCAGAGAAAAGAAAGACACATTACTTACGAAAGAATAACAGTTACACGAACAGCAGATTTTGCAACAGAAATGATGGAAGTCAGGGCATAGCGTTGTTAAGAGGCTGAGCAAAGCCCTAGCCGGTTTGGCTCAGTGAATAGAGCGTTGGCCTGCGGACTCAAGGGTCCCAAGTTCGATTCCGGTTAAAGGCATGTACCTTGGTTGCGGGCACATACCCAGTGGGGAGTGTGCAGAAGGCAGCTGATCGATGTTTCTCTCTCATCGATGTTTCTGACTCTCTATCCCTCTCCCTTCCTCTCTGTAAAAAATCAATAAAATATATTTAAAAAAAAAAAAGAGGCTGAGCAAAAATATCTGCAGACCTGGAGTTCTATACTCAGGAAAATATCCTAAAGGTGAATGAAGGTTTTCAGATAAATAAAGACGGAATCGCCCTAGCTGGCTTGGCTCAGTGGGTAGAGGGTCAGCCTGCGGACTGAAGGGTCCCGGGTTCAATTCCGGCCAAGGGCACATGCCTGGGTTGTGGGCTTGATCCCCAGTGGGGGGTGTGCAGGAGGCAGCTGATCAATGATTCTCTCTCATCATTGATGTTTCTATCTCTCTCTCCCTTTCCCTTCCTCTCTGAAATCAATACAGAAATATATTTAAAAAAAAATAAAGACGGAATCAATTTATTGTGAGCAGACCCACACTAAATACAACTTATAGTGTCATCTCTCTCGGAAACTGAAGGAAAAAACAGCAACAACAAAAATTAGTAGCGAAATGGAAAATTCCGACAACACAATGAACAAATTTGACCTAATTAAGAGCCTCTTTAATGCCAGCTTACAGAAGACCGCTGAATTCTCCTACCTGCTCCTGCATCCATTCTGTTGCAACATCACACATCACGTAGCTTCCGGAAAACCCTACTGCACGCTCCTCAAAAACAGAAGTGAACCGTCTTGGCATTGCTATGAAAACAGTTCTGACGATTCTGGGCTCTGGGAAAGGATCCGGACACCAGGGTTTCCCAGATCACACCGAACCGCTGACCTAAGCGAGGAAGTCCAAGGAGAGGCAAATGGGGGTGGGATTCAGGGCACCAGTCGGGGAACCGGCCTCTGTGAAAAGTGCCCGCTCATCTTTTGGAACCTGAGCAAAAGCAGAAATGTTGCCAAAGCAGGTGCATGCTCTATTCTTATGGGTCCCTTTTTTTTCAGTGAGAACGGAGGGGAGGCCGTTCATCGAAGCGTGCCGACCCCAGGAGAGAAAGCGTCGGAAATGACTCTTGGTCGAGTAGGAGAACTAGCCACCAGCCGTGCAGTCCCAGGGCTGAGCAGGGCCCCTAAAACACCGCCCCCCCGCCCCCCAGCACTCAGCAGGGCGCCCTGTGATTTATCCGCGGACAGAACCGCGGGGAGGGCGTTCCTCCGCTGGCCGAACCGAGTCGCGGCCTCGCTCCGCAAGGGGCGGTGTGGCAGGGGCTTCAGAGCGCGCCCGGGGCCCGAGGCTGCCTGGGTTCTCGTTCTGCTTCGGCCACTGAGCAGCTGTGAGTCCTCGGGCAGAAGACCCTCCCGGTGCCTCCGTTTCCTAAACGTGAAACGGGGATATGGCACCTACCTCGTAGGGCTGCTGTGCCGATCAGTGCAGATTACACGGCAAGGGACGCACTTGGATGGGTACCCGGCAAAGGGAAGCGCTCCCTAAGGCCAGCGACAGCTGCTGCCATTGCCAGGATGACGGTCACGTGACCTGCGGAGTTCCCACTCTGCCTGTGGGTGCGGACAGCACCCGCTCCCCTGGCGGCTGGTCCTGAAGGCAGCCCTGGTGCAGGCCGGCGGGGCTGAGGCTAAGCTGCGGGCCAAGCGAGCTGGTCCCCCCCGCCCCCCCGCAGGGCTGTCCTCTCCTGGAGGAGGCCGCAGGGCATATATGCCCATCAGTGCGACAGTCGCAATGGCTCTAAGTGCTGCCGTTTGGGAAGGTGTAGCACGCGGCCAGGCTCTGAAAACCCCTCCCTCCGCCGAGGGCAGACCCCAAGTGGGTGCGCTTGGTGTGCACAGGTGAGGAGGGCTTCCCAGG